CTGCGCCTTGGACAGACTGGCAAATAAAGTTCTTTTGTTTGGAAGAGGGAACTTGTCATCAGCAAGGAAGTGATTCGATGGTTTATAATCAATCACAAGTCTCATTTTTCCCCGAACTTGTTCACTTCTTTTGTTGACATAAAATGCTTGGCATGCCCATTGAGAAGTGGTAGGTTCAATGAGACCTTCATCTTGCAATTGGCTTAACTCTTTGGTTGCTAACTGGAGGTGTTCAGGGCTCATTCCAATATGGCTGGCTTTAGTAGGGTTAACGTCTTCATTTCTTTTGAAAGGTAAGGATATGAAAAAATCTGGATTTTTCCATAGAGGGTGAGTGCATTTGGTGAGAAATTCTGTGTGAGAATCTGCACAACATTCTCGGATTAATAGGCTTGTTATATCATCAAGGCTGGTTATGGAAAAATATGTGGTTGGCTGTATGTATGGCAGAAAGTAAGACTTGTATCTAAGGCCATTTGGAAGAGGAATAACACGTTTTGCCCACAATTGTCGAATGATGTCAAAACCAATTACAATATCCTTCCCTGGTAAAGATGATCCAAGTAACTTGTGTGAGACATTACATTCAGGAAAGAGCTGAAGTGTCACTAGCTTACTTATCAACTCTGTTGAAAAATACTCATTATTGGCTGCCTAGAATATTTGCTTATGTGTTTTCCACATGTCTTTGTGGAGAATGGCTGGATTTAAGATTGAACAAGCTGCTCCAGTGTCAAACAGACCTGCAACTGTGATTGGTCTTTCATATTTTCCTGGAAATATTTTGACTTCAACCATCGGAATTGGAAGACTAAGATTGATCACTTGCATTCCATAGCATTCCTCTATACTATCATAACCATTAGTGCTCTCATCATCGGAGTCAAATTCCAATATGAAGATAGTTTCAGGGGACTGCTCATCTTCTTCAGAGAATACCGATTCAAGGTCCGCTTCTTCTTCCACTTTTGTTGCTACATAGATTTGGTGTAAAATTTTCTCCTTCTTTTTGTTGGTACAATTTTTTGCAAAATGGCCCTTCTTTCCACAGATAAAACACCTGTCTCCCTTTTTCTTTGTGAATTTCCTTTTAAAATATCTTCTTCTTCGAGGAAAAGATTCGAAAAATCTTTTGTTCTGAAATTTGAACCTCCTTCTGTGGAATTTCTTCTTTCCTGGACAATCACAACTCTTGTTCTCATGTCAGCACTTAATCTTCAAATCTGGCTTATCACACGCCTTTTCAAGCTTCTGTCCTGTTGTACTAATATCCTTTAAAAACCCTCTTTGATTGCAGAGTTTTTTCAAGGTTCTTTTGACCCAGTTGTGAAGCTCTCCAAATGAAGTGGTTCCCAATGATTGTCCTTTTATTTCAATCATTCTGAGTGTCTCTTGACCAAGAGGCTGTGGGATGGACTCTAAGTAAGCCTGCTTTATATTTGTATCGTCCATTCCACCAATGAGATAGTATCGCCTGGCAGCATTGTGAAAATGTTTATCTAGATCTTTAGGATTGTAAGAACAACATTTCAATTTGAAGAATTCTTCTCTTGCAATATCTTTCAAATGATCCGTCTTTCCACAGAATTCCCAATATAATGATTCTATGAAAGCATCTATTGTTGGGGAATTAGAATATTGGATCTGGCGATATTCTCCAAGAGCATCATACCAATCTTTTAAGAACCCAGTGATTCTTGCTAGAAAAGATTTTATGACTGCAGAATGAGTCATATTTGGCCTTTGTAATTCTGCTAAACACCATGCTCTCATTTCTTTAAATCTTGCTTTCCACAAAGTTGGAGGAATATGATCAAAAGTAAATTTGGTTGCTGAAGTACTATTTTGTGAATAATAATTGTTCACAACATGAGGATCAGCAATTTCTTCATCAATTATTTCTGGCTCATCAACAACAGGAACTCCTTGTTGAGTTTGACTTGATTGTGTTCTGTCAGCCATATAAAAAGGAGGATGATCTTCTAGAAATTAATCTGAGGACTCTTCAAGTTCAGAACTAGTTTCATTTGGGATGGTTAAAATAGGAGTTATAGAGGAACGGTTTTGAGTTTTTTGTAGGAAAGTCGTTATGGGGTTTTTTATCATCATTTGTGGTCTTTTTTCTGGGTTTGGTGGAGGTAAAGTTTGTAGATTTTGTGAGGCTAATGGTTTGGTTTTCTTTATATCGGGATAAGAAAGAGGTGTCGATTTCTTTTCCCATTCTTCAGGAGTGAAGAGTGAAGATGTGGATTCATAAGCTCCTGTTGAATACATGGATCCTGAAGTTTGTGACATATGGGTATATGAGATAGGGTGATATGGAGTAGAAGGTGGGATCATGGAATTGTTTTCAAGAGAAATGAGTTGTTTTTTGAGATTTCTTATTTCTCTTTCTTGATCTGTTATAGGTAAACGGTTTTGTAAAAGGGTCATGATTTCAGCATGGAGGGTTTCAATCTTTTGTTTACAGGCTTGAAGAGGGGTTAATAGTGTTTGTGCTTGTTGCTGTAGAGTCCTTTCAATTCTTTGCTGACTTTGGTCAATTTTTCTCAACAGGGAATTTTGTTGGACTGCATTTTCTGACTGCCAGTTTAAAACTGCTTCTGCTGCTGAAAGTTGGTCAACTGAACCATCCGATTTTCTGGATGTGGGATTCCTGATCTTCCAGGCATGAGTTGACTGCTCTTTGTCAAAAGAGGACAATGGAGGAAACTCTTCTTGTTGAGGAGGGTGGAACATAGCTATAGGCGTTGCTATCTGAGGAGATGGAGGTGGACTATTATCCCAGTCCCATTTTTTATGTAGTTGGTCGCAATCCCATGGATCATCATCATCCCAACCAGTAGGAATAATAGATTCATCACTTGTAGGAGGTGGAGTGTACTTGACATAATAGTCAATTTTTCCAGAGGGTTCTCCTAACAAATCAACTCCTGCAGATTTGTTTTCATATGCTTCACGCAACTTTTGTTGGCTATTCTTCTTTTTCTTCTTGTTCCTGGAAGGACGATCGTTAAATGGATCTTCTTCATCTTCTATGCATCTCGCACAGAAACATACATCCCAATAAATATGTCCTGAGTTATCAGATTTGCAATAAATTGGCCTGCCATTTGCATCAAATCCATAAATGGGAATTTCTCCATTGGAAAAAGCAAACTGTGTTGGAAAATAGGGAGGCTTTTTATTTGCAGGTTCTTTTTGAAACATGATCTCAACTTCGCCATTTGACTTTCTCCTGAAATGATGAGTTGCTGATTGTATGGGCAGAGAGTCTTTTGACGCCTGGTGATGTTGCTCATAACTAGTAACCCAAGTTTGAGGGATCAATTTAATGAGCTCAGATCTAGGAATCTGTCTAGGGACATATGTACAGCTTGGCTGATCTGTTCCCATCTGAATTAATAAAGCATCATCCGTCCCATTAGGAGTGACAAAATCAAGAGAGTGATTTTGAATTCTGTAAGCCATCTGGTAATGAAGTGTTGCTCCATATGTGACTGCTGTTGGAACTACTCCAACAATTTGGACCTCGATTTTTAAAGCTGATAACAATAATGGATCTACAATTGGCATATTAAAATTTGGAAACATAGTAACAAGTACTGTTCCCGCATTGAGTGTAGTTTCCACGGTGCCAATACACGCATGTTGATAATCAGCAAATCGTGTATCTAGAAGAGCAATTCTAGAAACAGCAGGGAGACCTTTTCTTCCATGGAGGGTAAGTGCAATTCTTACAGCTCCAAAATGAAGATGGGTAAAGCCTTCAGATAACCATACTTTTGGAAGATGAGATGGTAAATATAAGGTAACAAACTGCTCCTTTTCAGTAGTAGGTAGAAGATGCTGATCAAACTTTGATGCCTGAACATATTCTTTGATTTGGGATTTTGATGGTGAAATGATACTCTTAACAGTTTTGGTGAAGGAATTTCGGGGTTTGTTATATGGAAGGTAAGGATTGACAAGAGGTAGATCTGTAATTGGGATTTTTTCAGATTCAGGTAGGTAAGATATTTCATAAAGGGAGTCGATTTTAGAAGCATTAGATTTTCGAAAGGAGGTGGAGGGTGCTAATATAGATGAACTAGAAGACTCAGACATAATTTTAAATGTGTTCTTCCTAGTTTCTTTCAAACTGGATAATTCCAATCAGAATAGTAAGATCAAGATAACAACATGGACGATACAAATGATGCTAAATGTACAATTTATAGATCATGTCGCATGACATGACACATAATGTGAATGAAATGATAAGGCTAAGTAAATTTAGTGTCAAGTAGCATTCTACCAAACAAAGATCATGTGTACAAGTCTTGGTTAACCAATTTATAGAAAAATGTTCATGTGTTATATTTTCTCAATGGCTGAAATAAATACATTTTTCATTACGAGGTCAATAATTAAGTTGCATATTTCTTTTTAAAATAACAAACTCTAATCTTTTCTATGTTCTATTGCCCAAAAAAAAAAAAAAAAAAAAAATTTTAAAAAAAAATTAAAAAAAAAAGAAACCTGATTATTAGTTGACTTTGACATCTTGGGGAAGCACAAGGCAAACGGAAGCTTAACCGATTCAATGATATATAGGAAAATGTCGAAGTGCCCGAATTTTGGTGACCGAACGGGTGATCGACCCTCACATGAAGTGTGGATTCCAGGTGAATAAAATAATGCTCAACCCTTAAGGTGTGAGTGTTCGGTCATCCCGCATATCAACCATTATGTTTGTGTAGCATGGTTCATAAAACATAAACAAGATTAGAGAAGGTTTGATATTTATTAGGACCATGACATGCGTAGATAGAATTGCAGGGTTCTACCTTCGGAATTGGACTCATTTCACATTTGTATCTTATGACTTGAAACACAGGAGGAGGCAAATTTTCACATTGCACGGGACGGCCTTTATGAAGCTTCATGCCAAAATGGAAGTCAAGTTCATCAATTGAAGCAAACCAAACAGAAAAAGACCTCCGGCCAGTATCAATATTATGGCAAATCATGGCATCATTATTCTCTGTGCGATCTTATGGCTCTTCGACTCTGCCAATACTCCAGTGAAATGCTCAAACAACAAAACAGATTCACTTGCATTACTATCCTTCAAGGCAGCTATAGACGACGATCCACGAGGTGCATTAAATTCATGGAATGAAAGTGTCGATTTTTGCAGCTGGAAAGGCATTTTGTGTGGCAGCAGGCATCATACAAGAGTAGTATCCATCAATATGATGTCTCAAGGCTTGGTGGGATACCTCTCACCTCATATAGGTAATCTTTCATTTCTAAGAAGCATCATTCTCCAAAATAACAGTTTCTATGGCCAAATTCCCAGAGAAATTGCTCAGTTAAAGCGACTACAATACATGGAGTTCAGCAACAACTCTTTTGATGGATCAATACCAAGAAACCTGTCCCAATGCCGAAATCTTTATTACCTAAATTTGATTGATAATGACCTCACGGGAATCATACCGCCTGAACTGGTTCTTTGCTCGAGCTTGAAGCTCTAGGCTTGTCCAAAAACAAACTTTCTGGAACTATCTCCCCTTTCGTCGGAAACCTAAAAAGACTAGTGTTACTTTCTTTAGCAAACTGTGGCTTGCAAGGAGAAATTCCTCAGGTACTTGTCCATCTTCAAAGTCTGGAATTGATCAATTTAGATGAGAACAGTTTAACTGGTGCCATTCCTCCTGGTCTCTATAATATTTCCACTTTCTCTATTTTCTCTGTGCGCTCGAATCAGCTCCGAGGAACCATACCTCGAGACCTGGGTTTCAGGTTTCCAAAGTTGAGGCATCTTGATTTGGGGGATAATCAATTTAGCGGAGTGCTTCCAGCATCATTATCAAATGCTTCCATGCTTGAAATAATAAATTTATCTGGTAACAACTTTACAGGACCGATGCTGGAAGATTTTGAAAGGCTTTCAAGTCTTCAGTCCCTCATTTTTTTCATCCAATCATTTGGAAGGAGATGTCAGTTTTTTTTCTTCCTTGATAAATTGCACTAAATTGCAAGTTTTTATAGTCTTCGATAATCATTTAAGTGGCTCATTACCAGACTCCATTGGAAATCTTTCAAGTGACCTTAGCTACCTATCTGTGGGGAGAAATGAAGTACATGGAAGCATTCCTTCAGATATTGAAAACCTCGTCGGTCTCACTCGCTTGATTATTTCGGACAACAATCTTGAAGGTCCTATTTCTTTTGCATTTGGAAAACTTACTAGGTTGCAAGAACTCTATCTGGACACAAACAGATTCGCGAATTTGCTTCCATCTTCACTTGGTAACTTGAGTTTATTGAACCATATATACTTACAGAAAAATAATATCCATGGAAGTACACCTCAAAGTCTCAGTAATTGTACTAACTTGCTAACCTTAGATCTTTCTCATAACAACCTCATTGATTCAATACCTCAAGAAATTTTGATGATTTCCACTATTTCTATTTCCTTCAACCTAGCGTACACGCATTTGCAGGGCCTATTCCACATGAAGTCTCTTTGATAAACCTTGTAAGCTTGGATTTGTCTAACAGGATTCATTCCAAATTTTTTGAGCAGTTGCGCCAGCTTACAATGGCTTCATTTGGAGGCCAATTCACTTGATGGTGAAATACCTCGACAATTAAATGAGTTGAGGGGTTTACAAGACTTGGATCTTTCACGAAATAAATTATCAGGGCCAATCCCAAGGTTTCTAAGTGAACTTCTATTGGTAAATCTGAACCTGTCTTTCAATAGGCTGCAGGGTGAAGTCCCAATGCTAGGAGTGTTCCAAAACAGAACTGCAGTTTCAGTTGACGGGAACAATGAATTGTGTGGTGGCATTGCAGACTTGAAGCTTCCTCCTTGCTCATCACAAAATTCCAAGAAGAAATACGTCCCAACCGTATTGAAAGTCTTAATCCCGATGGTGGCAGCTTTAGTCATTTGTTTTACTCTTTCAGTATACTTCTGCTTATTTGTATGCCGGCGAAGAAGAAGGTCCAGAGATACTCTATCTTCCATGCCATCATTTGAAGGACAGTTCTTGAGGCTTTCTTATGCAGATCTTTTGAAAGCCACAAATGGATTCTCTGAAGCTAATTTGATTGGTGCAGGAAGACATGGATCTGTTTACAAGGGAATCCTCGATGACGGACAGACATTGGTAGCAGTGAAGGTACTCAGTCTCCATGTAAAAGGAGCATCTAAGAGCTTCATATCAGAATGCAATACGTTAAGAGTTGTAAGGCACAGAAACCTCCTGAAACTATTGAGTATATGTCAGAGCACAGATTTCCAAGGAAGTGATTTCAAGGCATTGGTTTATAAATACATGTCTAATGGGAGCCTGGAGAAATGTCTACATCAGAATAGACAGCAACAAGGTGGACAGGACGAAAAGACCAGCAATCTCACCATGATTCAGAGGCTAAACATCGCCATTGATATTGCATCTGTGCTCGAATACCTACATTGTGGCACTGATTCATCCATTGTCCATGGTGATCTAAAACCAAGTAATATTCTTTTGGATGATGACATGACCGCCCATGTCGGAGATTTCGGATTGGCAAAAGTTATGTCAAGCATTTCGAGTGAATTTCCCACACATGATGGCAGTTCAACTGGGATCAAGGGTACTATAGGCTATGTTCCTCCAGGTATAACTTCCCCTTTCAAACTTAATATAGTACATGTAACAGCTGTTTTAGAGTTCTGCAATGCCTTATCATCAATATGTAATCCAAGAAATTCTTTACCTTAATGACAAATTCCCCTTTCGTGCTTTATAGGAAACATCTAAATTTTCGCCAAACTCGCTGTTGAAAGTCCAACTATTTTCTCGAATCTCGTATCTCCTCCAAAGCTCCAACAATTGCTACCATAATCTCCAACATGACAGCCTTGCCCTCCACCACCACAGCTGCCGACATCATCGCTGCCACGTCAGTATCTATACCCATCTAGGTGCTGAATCCAAAACCTTTTATTCAAACAGGTTATATTTATTCAAGAAGAGCGAGTAACAACGCCACCCAACTTATTCAGCTGCAGAACCTACAAATTCAACATCGAAAACTGTGATTCCCAATGCATAGGGATTTTCTTGATAATTTTCACTCTATCTGATGTTTATAACACCAATGCAGAGTATGGCATGAGCACCATCGTTTCCCCGCAAGGAGATGTATACGGTTATGGGATTCTTCTGTTGGAGATGTTCACAAACGTAAGAACAACTGATGATTATGTACTCAAGGAACATACAGGCCTTAACAATTATGTAAACAGTGCATTGCCAAATGCAGTTATGGAAATTGTGGATCCACTCATTCTATCAGAAATACAAGGTGAAAGAACCATGAAAAGGGACTGTATGAACTCTGTATTGAGCATTGGAGTGGCATGTTCGATGGAGTCACCAAATGATCGAATGTCAATTACAAACGTTGTTAATCAATTATGTAAGATAAGAACAACTTATCTTTTGCCGAGTTGATTTCTAAAAAAAAAAAGGGTTGAACCCCAACCTTAAGGGCCCCCACCGACCTTACCCTGGGCCATCGTGGAGGAGGTAAATCGCATAATGTGCCTCTCAGGAGCCAGGGTGGAGAGCATATGGATAGGCCAAGGCTGTTAACCCATATGGTAACTTCCGCTTGCAACAAAGTCAATTTCACCTTATGGGGAATCGAACTCTGCACACTACCGCGCTGAGCCCTATCCGCCCTCCCCTTTGCCACTTGGGAGATATGCCCTGGGGGCGAGTTGATTTCTATTTTTATGTCAATATGTGGATTCTTGACTTTTCATCATGAATAAATATATTCTCAAACGTGCTAAAACACGAATCTAGGTAGCAATATTTAATAGACATAATTAAATGTGTCGGTTGCCTTTTCATTTAAATTAATATATCACTTTTCTTTAATGTCACATATATTGTTACCTACACTCGTGTTGAAATCCAATGCAGCTAGACAACATCGCTCA